TTGGAATTGATATTGATGCTCTGAAGATGCTTGTTGAGTCTAAACCAAGGAAACACACTCATGAAATGGCCCAGAAATTGCAATTCTTTCAAGAAACAATATGTAAACATCGAAGGAATATGGGAAAAAACCATAAAGAAGGTGTTTGGGTGCCCCACGAACTCTCTGATGATCATCGTTTCCAACATGTGAACGTTGCTTTGTCTCTTCTGGCGCATAATGCGCAAGAACCACTTTTGGACAGAATTGTCACCAGTGATGAAAAATGGATTCTCTATGCGAATATTAAATGCCAAAAATAATGGCTCAGTCCTAGAGAAAAACCACTTCCGACCCCAAAACCTGGACACCATCTGCATAAAGTGATGCTTTGAATTTGGTGGGACATCAAAGGAGTAATTCATTTCAAATTCCTCAATCCACAGTGAACTGTCAATGCAGAGATCTATAGTCAGCAAATGAAACGTTTAAATCAAGCCCTTCATCAGAAACGCCTTTCACTCGTCAATCGGAAAGCTGTTCTTCTCCACAACAATGCATGTCCACATGAGGCACGTTTGATGCAACACAACATTATGGAGTTGGGCTGGGAAGTTCTCCCTCACCCACCATATTCTACAGATATGGCACCATTAGATTAACATCTTTTTCATTCACTGCAACACCATCTTAACGGGTAAACGTATGCAAATGTGGAAGGTGTTAAAGAGGACATCAACATGTTTTTTTGCTTCAAAGCCAAGCGATTTCTTTAATCAGGGCATTAACAAACTGATTGTAAGATGGAGAAGCGTTATCAAAAAGAATGGAGACTATTTCATTTAATAAATGTTTTGTTTTGATATATAAGTTGTTCGGGTTTTTTCATCTAAAAAAAAGCAACATTAATTTCTTCACAACCTAATATATCTAGTAGGAATATTAACTAACTTGTGGCTTTAAATAATGAATTTTTTTTGAGTGTTTGGACAAATCTTTTATAAATATTTACATAAAGTGTTAGAAACCTGACTTTGGTACTTTTAGTAATTCTATTTAAATTCATTTTCTTTTGTACCACAGATTACCTGCTATCTAATAACCATGTCAACTCTATAATAGTTCACAAGTTTGATTTTTCTGATGAAGAGGTAAGTGCTTAATACCTACATTAATTATGATAGTTTTTTTTAACATTTAAGCAATGCTGGAAACAATGTACATATTTATTACTAAGTTTCCATAGTTTCTATTCTCTGTATGTTGCTGCTTTATTGTTTAGGATCATTCTAATTACTTGTTTCTGTATTTACAGGTAATGGCATACTATATATCATTTCTGAAAACCTTGTCTTTAAAGTTGAACCCTCACACTGTAAATTTTTTTTATAATGAGGTAAGGTTTTAAATCCTGTTCGTCAATGTTGTATTTTAATAAAATATATTTTGCTGTATTTGAGAATATTTATTTTAGAAAAAGTCATATACATATTTTCACTTAATGCTTTGGAACTTGTGTACTGTCATTATATTTTACTTAAGATAAACTTTCAAATACATTGCATGGTTTACAGCATAATGATGAATACAATTCAAAATGGGATTTATTATTCATTGGAGAATAATTTGCTCAGCTTTTTGGGGATTTTGCTGTACATTCAACATACCCATGTTTTATCTTTTTGTATAATATAGCATATATTCTTTACTAAAACAAGTTAATTCATATAAACAAAACATTCTTATCCGTATATGCTGTATTGATATTTTCATGTCTGTATAGACTTAGTATTTTGACATCACAGACATCTAATTTTAACCAGTGCTGCATTCAACATACCACATGACACACAAAAATTGGTATTTAACTGTGTTTTTTAATATTTACTTTTAGATTAAGAATTATAATCTACAGTTTGATACCAAACTTATTGACATAAATTCATGAAATTGTAGTTCAATAAAATTTTGAATGCGAGTCAGCAAACACGATGACATGGCCTTTGACCTGTGTCCTATCTGGAGAGGGTTAATAAGCAAGCCCAAGTATGGCCTCATGATTAATGTATCAGATTGCTGGTTAAAGGGTGTTGAGTTTGGGATGTGGTGCTACCAATTATGCATAGAAAATACAGCTGAGGGTGTATAATAAGCGTGACAGTAATTTCACTATTTGGTTATGAGTAACTACTTTAAGTGGCAGGTGCTTCTGACTGGTTGCTTTCCCACTGTCTGCAATTCAAAATTAGGAATAGCTGTGTCTGAACCATTGAAGTCTCTCAATCTGGGCATAAGGTGTCATTTGGTACTTTTGTCTCATATCAGTCTGCTTTTCATCATAAAATCAAATTTTTTGAAAATAATTTTCATCAAATAATGCCTTATTCTTATAGTAATCTTCTGTTCTCTGTTTTAAAAAATCTAATTTATTCTTATATTACATACAACAAATTTTCATATTTTAGATCATAAGTTGTCTTAGAATTGTTTTGTTTTCTCACAAAATTGAATGTTCCAGAATAACTTCACCTTTAGTAAAGATGTTTTTATATTGAGTAAAGAATTAATTTGTTTTTACTATTACACTCAAAGTTAATTAAATATTCAGAATGATCTGATTATAATCTTGGAAGAAAATCAGTCTGTTTTACTAGATTGCTGTGCATTTACTTATCAACTAATAATCAATATTACAAAACAATTAAGATTTAGTTTTTACTAACCTAAAGATATTTTCAGATTAAGAATTTATTGTTTTTAATTTAAGATTTGAAAAAATTATTAAATATATTTATTTGTTAAAAGGAAAATATGTTTTTGCTTTTTCTTTTCACCCATGGAAATATTTGGTGCACAGTGAACATTTCCTAATAATGTTAAAAATCAGATTTTACATTTACCCGTACTATTTCTTCATTTTTACATAAATATTAAATATTTTTCAAATAACCTTTTGTATTCTAATGTTGCCAAATCTACGAACAATTACTTTACAAAAATTCACATTTAAATATTACATACTTTTCATTTTGGTTATTTCCATATGTAAAAATATTTTCCTAGACAAAATTGGTAATTAGTACTTTTCACCTTCTTTCATACACTGATTCTTTTAAGAAAACAATATCATAAATGTAATTTTATTTGAATAAAGTTTTTTATCCCCTTTACAACAGCTGTTAGACATCTAGGATTAATAGGTCTATATTTGAAATGGAGTTTCATGCTCTGTTTGCTTATAAATTGTTTTCTAATATAAAACTGGGAAATTATTGTTATCATACTCATATTGATCACCTTTTCAGTTTATTTTCATAAAAATCAAGCAAGCATGTAATGATCAGTCATTGATCTGAAATGTAAATAATTGATCATTCAGCCTAAGCTGATCACTTGGTAGATGTGGTTTTGTATTTTTGCCGATAATGACATTCCCATAAACAAGAACTATGATCAACAAGGAAAAACTGGCACCTATGTTACATGCTTAAAATTCAGAGTTGATAAAGTACAGAGTTACTTTTGTCACTCTCTTGAAAGAGTTATTTTAAGGGTAGCCTTAACACGTTTGCTGCTGCAGAATGAATTAAGTATAAAAAATTATAAACATTCAAGAAGTGCCAAGGAGCAGTCACAGTGTCCAAAACTCGTATGCCACAAGAGAAATTTGGCTTTCAAACATAATTGTCTGTGATCCACTAATGTGTCATGCAGTCTATAACTAAACGTAATTTGTGACCCACTGATGGGGCACATGGCAGCGAACGTGTTAATGATTTAGGTCCCTCGAAGCCTAATAAGCATATGGATTGGTATTATTCTGCTAGGCTAAAATCAAGATCCATTGCACTATGATAGCACAAAGGTTTGTAGACTGTGGCTCCTGTCATCTGTAGCATTAATGGTGCCATTCTTTAGGATGTAGGGGTTGATAAGCTGAAAAATATTTATTGGTGCTGTAGTCGTATTGCAACCACTGCTTTATGCATTACATTCCTGTAAGAAAATTGGATGGACCTGGTTTCATACTCTCTCCAAATGAATACAAGTCTGTTATCTGTTATAATATATAACAAATTATCATGATTTTTAATTGTTTTTCAGTGTAGGTGGGTTTTTTTGGTATTAAGTTTACAAATATTGTAAACCTCGCTAGGTTTTAAATGTCTGTCCACTCCAACATTAGAGAGAGATAGACATTTTCAGTGTAGACACAAGTATCATTTTGATGTATTCTTCTAGCATACTAATGATTTTCCATTGTACACTGAAGCTATCAAGTTTTTTAATCATGGTGAAAGTATGGTACGAATAGCTGTTCGAACACTAACACTTAATGTATTCAAAGGTGAGTATATAGCCTCATAGAAATTTTGATAGATGAGCAGAGAGATAGATATGTAAATGTTCCTTTATTTTTATATAACATTTTTTTTAAATATAGAAAAAGTATTTCTTAACCTTTTGAAGCTATTTCATTCATATTTGCAAATTAAAGTTTGTATATTCTCTTTATCTAATTGCTCTGGCAGTTTTTAGAAACTAAGCATTTTTTTAAATGTCTAGCTATACATCAGGGCCGAAGTTCTATATCATAAGTATAACTTATATTCCAAATGTAAATTCTCAGTTTTTAGGCTTACAAGTAATAATCTAGAAGAAATCACTCATATGTGGAGTGTATGTCATAGCTGAAAACTCCTTACATATTTCTGTGTATAAATTATTTTTCATCTCTGGTCATCTTTCTGTTGACATTGAATGTAACTGCATGTTGTTATTAACCATGTAGATGCATACTTTTTCAGTGATGTCATGCTCAAAATAAGATAATTCAGGTTAAGAGCTAAAATTATCATCAGCTTGCACAAGTTCAATTGTCTCTTCAAGTGTAAAAACTGGAGCAGTTTGATGCCATTTTGGGTCTGTTTTCTCATAAAAAAGTAAACAGTTTTTATCTGCAAATGTTATTGATGCTTTGAATAGCAACATACACCATCTTGAATATGAATTGGTCGCTGGGATTTTCATCTGTACAGATTGGGATTTGGCTATTGATTTTTGTAAGCTCAATTTGCATTTTTAGCAGGAAGTTCAAACCACATTATTTGGTTGCTGTATGATGATGATGATGGATACTCTTAAAGCGTTAAAAATTATTTGTATTCCATAAAAGTAATACCAAAATTACCATGTTTTATGTAACCTAAAAAACAAGTGGAGACAAAATGTCATTTGCTTATAAATTTATTCAGTGAACAGCTATAACTGTTGGGCATTTCATTTTGAGTTTTAATTCTACCTCTGTCTAAACAGATTATTGTGCATATTAATTATTCCTAGTGTATCTGGACTTACTGGTGAACAACATCTCATTTCTTGACATTTTGTAGCTTTTCAATGGTAACTTTTTTAAAATAAAGTCAAGTTTAGTGGTTCTAAGTTTATTCTTTTTTTTTACAATCTTTATTTGTCAACTCTTTCTATAATTTCACATCTTATTTGTTCATAATAAGATTTATAACTTAATCTCAATTACATTTTTTCAGATATTATGTTTCTCAAGTTTTAAAGGATTTAAAATGTTATTATGTTAAAAGTAATAATGAATTTGTTTGGAAGCTATTTATGTTTTGCCTGAAAATACCCTAAATAAGTTTCTGTTTCATGATTTTAGTCCAAGATAGAGCCATGCTGAAGTTTATTAGGAACAAAACTGCTGCTCCATACTTCTCCAACTTAGTGTGGTTTATAGGAAACCATGTGTTAGAGCTTGATAACTGTGTGAGGATGGTAACAGAGTAAGAAAGTTTTTGTTTATTTTATTATAAGACTTTATAGCCACAAATATTTATAGAAATATCTTTCTTGGATCCTCTAAAATAAACCAGTGTTGCCAGTTTTTGTTAACATATGTTTAAGGATCTCTGAAATGTAATCAATTGTAATACTGTATATCCTTATTAAACAAGTGACTGGTTATATGGGAGAATATAAACAATTTAAAGTAGAAGGTGTTTTTGCAAATTTTTGGTGATGTTATAAAAATAGACTAATAGTTTTCTTTTGAGTTTACTTACTTATTATAAGCATTAGTTTATTACAAGTTATAGCTTTTACAGTAAGGAAGAATACTTTTAAAACTTGTACGATGTTTCGATCACTGGGGCCACCAAGCTCAGGTTCACAACTTTTAAAGGTAAAGAAGGTTCTGGTAATTATTGAATGTTGTTTAATTATTAAAACCTTCTTTATCATTAAAATTTGTGTACTTGAGAACGATAACACCAGTGATTGAAACGGCATTCCTGTTTTAAAAATATTCTTTCTTACTGTAAAAGCTGTAACTTGTAATAAAATAATAAAAATAGTCTTTGTTTTTAGCAGTATTTTATTTCCTGTTCATTAGACACTAAGATGGATTTGCTATTTTTATTTCCCTAAATACAGTTTACAATTACTGTTCTCTAGGTACCAAAGCCGATTGCCAGACTTTGTTGCAGAACACCTTGATCATCTGCACTACCTAAATGACATCTTATGTCTTCATATAGATGATTTGAATGATGTTCTCACAGACCACTTCTTAAACAGTTTGCTGGTTCCTTTGTATGTCTTCTCTCTCACTAAAAGACGTCGACACTCTCAAACAGAGGTTAGTGCTATGGTTGTGGAAGAAATTATCCATCTCTGTGTAGATGAAAATATTTTTAATTGAATTGCATCTTAACTCCAAGTTTTGAAAATTCATCGTTAGGAATATTTTGTTCCTAATTTTATGAAGAAAAAAAAAAGGATTGTTAGTTCACTGTTCAATTCTTCTATTTTCATGAACTCTTGAAATATTTATTTCAACATATATTACATATATTGAAGTTCCTTGTCTTGAAAAAATCATGCAGTACATTTCACGTAATTACTTTATGGTGTTTTAAACTCTGAATGCATTGTTAGAGCTTGACTATTTATTTTTCACCATACTTTGGTAGACTTTACTAGTTTTAAAAAAATATATACGTATGATATTAGGAAACTGGACTTAAACAGTACATTATCAGATATTTAAAGCCTTTTTCAAACACTGATATACACTATTATATTTAATACTTTAGTGTTTTTACTAAAATCCAGTGTGTGTATTAATGAAAATTATAAAAGAAGGAACAAAAATACATTCTTAGTCATTTCTAGAGTAGTTAAATATATGTGACAAACATAGGTGCTGTAATAGTTTTGCTGCTAAGGCCTGCTGAGTAATCTTGTGGTAAAACGTAATTTGTTGAAAACTTGTTTTTAATTAAAGACAGTGTCAAAATGTTTCTCTTAATATTTTTTTTAATTTACTAACCTAAGTACGCATATGTGAAACATTATTTAACTATAAGGAGGGTGTTGAGTGATATTATTAAATTCCAAAACATACTTACCTCTGCTGACACTATAGCTATTTCTTGATCTCTAGGGTTTCAACTCTTTGCCCATCTAAGCATTGAAAATGCTTGCTCCAGTCTTTTATACCCCATTCGAGTGCCCTTGGCAAATTATAATTTCCAAGGTTCTCCATCAGCTTCAATCACCTTCTATCTAGGTACTGCATATAAACACTCATTCAGATAATATAATCAGTTTTTCTCAACAAAGCATTCAGCACAGGTTTCTATAAATAGGAGTGTTGTGATTATTCACAATTTACATTGTGACTTTGAACGTAGTTTGTGTTACTATGTTTATATCTTCGTATATTTATAAATTACTTTAATAATAATAATAAAAAATAATAATGATAAAATACACACATATCTACGAGTACGAATTCCCGATTTAATGTTTCTATAACAGAGACTATTCAGACCTTTCCTCTTCCACCTCTGTTATCTGGTATTTGTCAACGACCAGGGGAGGGGTCCTCTCAGTCAAAGCTGTCGGTGATATGACCCATAGTGAGATGGACAAATATATGCTGACTAAGGGGTTCTGAGGCCACTTTTGCAAATGACCCGGACCAGCTGGGGGGAATCCTTTTACTAGGTGGGCCTCAACAGAGGATCATTTTGATCAGCCACCTCCAGCCCCTTTTTCTTCAGTTGGTTACTTGGGTTTGTGAGGTTTTGGGGGTCTCTCCTATTGCACTTGACTCTCCCCCTTCCTTGTTGGCAGCAAGTGACTACATAGTTTTTCCTCCTTCTCCTGATATTGCTTCTCATGCTGGGAGATTTGCTGCTTTAAACAGATCACAATTTTTTCGGATTCATCTTACTCTCACGACTGTCCTGATATAGTTATCTTCGATCTAACTTTTGTTGGAAGCTTATCAATGTCCCCTTGGCAATTTGAGTCAAACTGTCTTCAGTTCTTTCTCTGATTTCCTGGCTGGTCTGTTGATGAGATTTATTGGGTAGCGATTCTTTGTTAAAAAGTGTTTGTTTACCGTCTTCTGCCTTTGGGGAGTTATGGGAAGTGCCTTTTCTCCATCCCATGTTATTTGCTGGAGTTCCAGAGATATTAGAATCACGATTTTATTCAGTTTGTTTACATTCTTCTTTTTTGTCATTGACTTTTTGTCTTTCTGGCACTAATTTGAGAGTGTCGGCTCTTGATTTTTCCCGGCCCTCCTCCTTCAGTTCCCAGGTCTATTGGTTCTCATATTTGAGTCTGTCCATATTTTCGAGGATTTTTTGGCTCGGACGAACCTTCAACAACAGAGTCAGTGTCTATCCCATTTGCGGGGGAGCAGGGATCCACGGGTATTCCATGCTCTGAATTCAGGGTTGGTCATTCAGTTTACATCATCTTCACCTTTATCTGCACAACCTGTTGCCTTGTCACCTCCAACATATTCACAACAAGTGGAGCTTCGTTCTCAGGCTCTAACAGAGTTATAGTCAAAACGGACAGTAGTAGAGGATTGATCCAATTCTTCTTGGATTTTATTCCCATTTATTTGTTGTACTCATGAAGACAGTAGATTGGCGTCAAACCATCGATCTGTCTCGACTCAATCAATTTTAGATCCTCCTTGATTTACTATGGAATCCTTTCTCAACTTACGATGGCACTTTGTGCCAGGGCTCTGAATGACAAAGTTCGATGTTACTGACACTTATCACCATATTCCCATAGCAGAATCTTCCAGGAGGTTTCTCAGATTTATGCACAAGGGTCAGGTTCTGCAATTCAAGGCTCTTTCTTTTGGTCTTGCATCAGCACCTTATGTCTTCTGCAGAGTTTGTTTGAGCTTTTTCTCGTCATCCACATTCCTTAGACCTGTACACACATGATTATATGGATGACTGGAGTCTGCTGGCACCATCCCATCAAGTAGCAGAACAACATTTTCAAATTCTCCTTTCAGAAGCCACAAAAGCAGACTTCTTTATCAGACTGGAGAAATCTATTCTGTCACCAATGCAATATCTTGTCCATCTGGGTGTGTTTCTGGCTTCATACCATGGAAAGAGCCATCAGGCTTTTACTTATGTCTCCTTATCCTACTGCATGGATGGTTCTCTCTCATTCCTTTGGGACAAGCTAATATGGGATCCCTTCAATGATCACTGCATGATTAATGAATCATGCTTTCTGATCGTTTGGATCATCCTATCTCATTACTCAGGAGCAACATCGTCAATTGCAAATGGTGGTTGGATCAGAACAACACAACCCCATTCCACCACTTCGTCCCCGAGATGCATCTGTTCATGTTCACAGACATCTCTCTTCAAGGATGGGGAATTTATCTTCAAGGTCAGGAGTTCCAGGGTAATTGAACAGGAGTCAAGTCTACTGTCCATATCAATGTTCTCGAACTCCTTGCAGTACACAGGGCAATGGTTCAAGGTCTGTCTCTCTTGAAGGGAAAAATTTTCATGTTACATTCTGAGATACCACCAAACACAAATACCCAAATATAATTTATTTAGGAAGCCTGATAAATTACAGAGGATTTTTGTGGTATTGGTATAGTAATTTATAACTTTTTTGTATTCCAAAATGCTTATGTAAAGTCTACAATAATTATTATTTTTCCATCTCCATATTTCAATTTGGACAAGGCTTAGCAAGTATGGCTCACGAGTGCAAACAAGGACTTCATAGCATCGTAAGTAGTAAAGATCATTGTTTTCCAGATACTTTTTATTTACTGTTTTATATTTGAAGAAAAATAACTGACACATAAGTATTTATTTGAAAATATTAGTGTCAGAATTTAAAATAAAAAAAGATATATATATATAACTTTCCTTTTTTCCAATTGTCAAATAGAAAGGCTTTTAGTCATATTTTTTAATAGTATAAATATAAACTATGTTGTTGTTGGGCTTCAGATTCTTCTACCGTAGGTGTCTGTGACTTGTTAGCAATAAATTCAACAATGAATAAACAGCATGCACTTCACTTGTTTTCAAAATAATATATATTTAGAACAAGTTAACATATGTACAATAAATTGTTCAACACACACTATAGATATTATGGACATATCATAAATACTATATATGTAGTTCTCTTCTTCTTGTCAAATATCCACTTAGGCTTATTCAATTATTTTAGAATTTCGGTTGACAAGCCGAACTATCTTCTCTATTTTTATTGCACTAGTATTCTCTGTGATTCACTTACAATTGTGGCAGGAGTTACCATAATCGTTTGGTCTTCTTTCTTTCTTTTGAAGATTGTCTGCTCCTTTTAAGTGCACTCAGGCTGATTCAATTACCTTAGAACCATGCTTTGACAGAATAAGATTATTTTTCATATCTTCTTTTCTACTGTTAGTTTCACTGTAACATATTAAACGTTAGGCCTATCAATTCTATGGTAGTTAACTTCACACCAACTTTATTCTCTCTTGCTAATATTTGTCTACTTCTGTCTGCCTTCTGCTTCCTGCTCATCTCATTCTATTTATATCTTTATCACTTAATCGTCTGTCTGCCTTCTATATCCTTGATGTGAATGAATTATTAACAAAACTTCCTACAATCGTCTGCTTTTGACTCTTATTAGAACAAAAACTAAACAATAATGAAATATTCACTCACAAAAATATATTAATCACTAATATCTAAACCAAATAGTCTTTTATATCATGACAATTAGTTATATTTATATATATGAAAAAAGTGTGAAAAATGAGTAAAGCACATATCTATAACAAAAGCTTTATTATTATTTGCAATGTTTTGGGCAGAAGCCCTTTGTCAGGCAGTTTAAACTTAGACAGAGTCATTGAAGGGTTAAAATATAAAGAGATTCTAAATTACACACGTATTGCATGAAGCATGTTAACAAAAATATTGTTAGAAGGAACATTGTTGACTGGGTTCTATAAATATCCCTTCAATGATTCTGTCCAAGCCTTTTTTCTAAATAACACGGTTTTAAACTGTCTGATGAAGGGCTTCTGCCTGAAACGTTGCAAATAATAATAAAGTTTTTGTTATAGAAGTGTTTTACTGATTTCTTTCATTATTTTCCACATCTTGCAGTTTTTTCTTCTGTGTTTTTTCTAAACAAAACTTGCCACATATGCCAAATGTAAAGAACTTATACACAACTCTCAGCAGAAATATGATAGTGTTTCTCCAGCATTTTCCTCCAGATACTTTCAAGATTGGCCTCAAACATTTTACAGCTACACTCTCCAACACAAGGTACTCTAACCATATATTTTTTCTCCACAATTGCCTTCATAATAATATTTTATCTTTGGGATTTAAACTCCATTTTCATCCTCTAAGTCTCAACAACTCCTGTAATTTTCAAGTAACCAATAAACTCTATAACTGTCCCAAATCCCTTGTTTGCTTAACCCTAATTAGCCTTTAATAAGCAACGGGATTTGAAGTCTAAAAACATGCATCATCTACGCAAGCAACTATGTCTTTCGTATAAACTAGCCGAAGTTGTTATTATCTGTAAATGTATATGTGAACTTAACACAGAATATTTCACTGTTTTAAATACATAGAGCTCAACAAACTAACAAAACTAGGTGTCCCTATAGCCAACTTATTGTCAAACTACAGTGTGAAAAAAGTTGTAACAATTCTCGGTGATCTTCCTCTTACAAAGGCCGAGCTCTCTGTTTTATCAAAAGGGCTTAATTTTGTGCCCACCCGCAACTGACCAGACAAATATTCTTTGAAAGCCGACATGGAAAACTTCTATAGGTCATGTCATTTAAAATATTAACAACACTGTCAATACAATGGAACCTTAACTCCTATCACGCCCGATTTTACCCCAAGGTGACAGCTTTCCCGTTGATTCTATATGCATCGCACAGTTAAAGTAATTCCATCTGATCCTTTCAATTACTGCAAAGATCAGAATCCAAATTGGTCACCACCAGAAGGAGGTTTCCCAATCCTTGATACTTTTATCAACTGCTGTCGTACTGAAGTCAACACTATTAAATTCAATAATACTAATACTAGGCCTAACATCTCCAAAGATGAGCAATTTGCTCTGTTCTCCCAGAAAACCCACAAGGACATTGTCATCAAACAAGCCAACAAAGGTGGCACCACTGTTGTTTGGCATAAATATCTGTATGTTCAAGAGGCTAACAAACAACTAAGTGACTCCACCTTCTACAAACCTCTCTATGACGATCACCTTTCCCATTTTCAGAAACTTATCAAGGATAGTATAGAAGAACTTATCAAATCTAACCACCTTTTGCCAAAAACCTTATACTTCAACACCCCAGAATTGCCTTTTTCTACATGCTACCCAAAATTCACAAACCCAGGTGTCCAGGACACCCCATAGTCTCTGCCTGTAACTACCCCACTGAATTGATCTCCACTTACCTTGACAGTATTTTTCAACCCCTATTAGACACCCTCCCTACATCCGTTAAAGATAGAAATCATGTCCGTAATCTCTTAAACAAGTTTGACTCTACCATCTCCAATGATTACATTTTCACTATGGACATTCAATCTCTATACACTGATGTACCACACAATGATGGAAATGCTTGCACTTAAACATTTTCTAAACTAAAGAAGCAACTTATATCCCTCCACAGACACCATACTTTGGGTGACTGACTTTAAATGCCGTTGATTTTCACATAAAAACATATCAACAGTTACAAGGTTTGCCATGGGAACCAAAATAGGTCCATCCTATGCAAACCTTTTTTATTGGTTATATAGAAGAACAACTTTTCAGTATCTTCACCCACAAACTTCCTACCTTTTTCATCAGGTACATTGACAATATTCTGAGTCTTTTTACTGGACACAAAGACAAACTCGACCTTTTCATTCATTATGCCGAAACTTACCACACATCTCTTAAATTTATTTCCCAAATTTCTAGTTAGAAAGCTAACTTTTTAGACATCACTATTGACATTTCCACATCTACATTTACTACCAATGTACATTACAAACCCACTAACAGCCATTCCTATTTACACTTTAATTCTTTCCATCCCTCTGAGCACAAACACACTATTTCTAAGGGACAATTCGTACATTTAAGATGTCTGTGCTCTGACAACGCTGACTTCAGGTGTAAAGCTAATCACATGACTCTTTATTTTAAACATTAGAACCATCCTGATAACACTATTGAAAAAGCTAAACTTGCCACATTCAGTTTATCACAAGCTGTTTGTTTCCACTCTAAGAACAAACCACATGGTGACAGAGTTCCTTTAGTCCTTACATACCATCCTTTAACCAGACAGATTAGAAGAATTGTTCAATGCAACTTTACTTTACTAACAAGAAATAACACATCTAATGACATTTTTACCAAACCACCCTTAATTTCTTTCAAATGTGAGAAGAATTTGAAAGAATGTCTAGTACATTCCAAATTACAGACTGAAGTGTCTTTACTCGCACAAACTAACGGAACTTGCCCGTGTGGACGAACTATTTGCCTCATGTGCTATTATATCCCCAGTTATTTACTCTCTCAAGTTAAATCTTTAACTATCATGTAAAAGGCCAATTCACCTGTACATCAGTGTGCATTATTTATTGCATTTACTGTACTAGATGTAAACAACTCTATATTGGTGAAACTATATTCAGATAAGACAGATTCCATGAACATCTCCAAATTGTACACAACAGCACCTTCGACCACCCAGTTCCCAAACACTTCAACTCCACGGATCACAACAGAATTGATGACATGAATGTACTTGTTTTATTACATGCCCCCCACAATAAGTATGATCACGAAAGCCTAGAACATAAACTCATATTTAAATTAAATTATCTCGCACCACACGGAATTAATGAACATTTTTCTTTTAAATGATTACAGTTTCCATTAATATATCTTAGTCACCCCTGTTAACTTGACACTGCCTACACATAGTTCCCTGATCATTATTATTTTTATTATTATTAAATGACTATTTTATCATTTTTTGAATTTATGTTTATTTTTTTCAGAGTCCTTTTAATTTCTAAAATCCAATTTCTATAACTTTAATACTTGTTTTCCATTTTAAAACTGTTTATAGAATTGCTTCAACAATTTTCCTTCTAACAATATTTTTGTTAATGTGCTCCATGCACTGTAATGCTAGTTACCACAAGTAAATATTTCAGTTTTGAATTGCCTCTCTTATGTTGCTCAAGTTTGTGGTTTAATTTGTACATTGGACACAGTGCATATAACTTATTATGCAGATTTTTGTTTTGCTAGAAATTATACCCAAACACTGTTTGAGTAGCTTTACAAGCAATTTTTTGGTAGATGAATCAACCTCACTATTTAAAATGCTGAAATAGTATTGAACTTATAATAAATCTTTTTAAATAGTGGCCTCACAGTGGCTCAGCGGTAAGTCTGTTGGTTATAATGCTAAAAATTGGTTTTGATAACCATGTTGGACACAACATAAATAGCCCATTGTATAGCTCTGCCCTTAACAACAAACAAATTTTAAAGTGTGTCTTAAGGATTTACATTTTATTTTGGTAATTGTTCATGCCCTTTTGTTGAAGCCACTGGCTTTCTGTAGAAAGAGAAAATTATGGTTGTTGCATGCAACAGAAGCTGTTGCTATGTGTTTTATAAAGAAAAGTGTACTTTCATAAACCAGAATTTGTTGTCATATTTTATAGTGAATATTGTTTTGCTAAATACACTGAATAACAAAAAGAAACTTTAATTACCATTGGTTATCATTGATCTATGATTACGAAACCAATACATGATGTTGATATATTTATTTTTCTTTTCTTTTTTAATCATTTTATAGGATGACAAGCCACATGTTAGTAGTGTTGTATCTCTGTTCTTACTCTCTCAAGTAAGTCATCATTAGCTAAGGAATTAAAAATTAATATTTGCAAATTTATTACTCTGTTGAGATGAAACCTTTTCTAAAATTACAAGAATATCAAATATTTTACAAGGAAATATAATACCAAGTTTAACTACCATTTAATGTAAAACATAGAAATCATCTTTTATTTCTGAAATATAGAAAGTTAGAGTATAACCACAATCCACCTTAACCAGTTTGGGTGTAAGCATCCTAAAGGATTTCATATCAGTGATCAGAAACAGTGAAAAACAAAGATTTATTAAAATTATTAACATTGTACACCTGAAAAGCTATAAATTTGTGCAGAGGAAAAGAACAATACCATTTAAATCATGATCTTTCATTTATCTGTGTTTGCTTTGTAATAGGATTTGTAATGTGCATGAAACGGTGATACCTCGTTATTACTTTTTGCATAATAATATGAAACTGATTTGGAAAATAAGAATTTGTTATACAAGATCCTTCATTTTTTATAGCTAGAATGCGTTGTATTTTTGTTATTAAAAAAATATTTGAACTTATATGACACAATTGATACTTATGGGACAAAAAGATAACTTTATATTTTCCTATGAAAAAAAAGATAAAAATGAGTAACAGAATCTCAAGTATGAAGTTTTTCTCACATTTATTTCCATTTGTAAATACATTGTTCTACCTGTGACAGAGTACTGTTTATTTTTTATTGGCAGGTGTTCCTGATTATCTCTCATCAGCCATTAGTCAGACAGCTGGCACACACTATTCTGAATAAGGACATGACAATATTTACAAGCAAACCAAGAGAGGAAGTGGCTGCTCATGGTGTAAGTGTCATCTGCATGTCAAATGGAGAATATTTGTATTGTCATAAAAAAAAGTAATACTTTTTTGTGACTTGAAGCATAAGTTTAAAATATCAGAAATTGTGTTTTGGTGATGGCTGTGGCACCTAAAGTATGAGTTAGTAGAATCTAAACCAAATTGCTTTGGCAAATTTTATACTACATTGATGATATTACTTATGTTAAATGGCTCTCAGAATTGCAGAAATATGGGTTATTGATACTAATATCATCACAAACTGTGAGAAACAGCAACAGTTTTTGAGATAAAAGGAAGCGTTTTTAATTTAAATAGTTCCCTAGTGCATCAGGAAATTATGTATTTGTACAGAGGAAAGGTCCAATATCTATTAAGATATGAATTCATTGGCCTACATATGATACAAAGTTTTTCTTTAATATTTCTTGATTTTTTTGGCTTATGTATGGCTGGTAAGTCATTTAAAATAAAATGGAGGGTCCCGTACAAAAAATTGTTTTTTTCTCCCTTAAAACAGAAATATTTACTTTATACATTATGAACAACCTTTTGTATGTTCCACAAACCATAATTTGTTGTCATTGTTTTGTCAACCATATTTTAGGATATATTAACTATATCTGAATCTTGCAAAGCATATCTTCTGTATTAATATCACCAAAATCGAATTAACTAACTTATCACTGAAAATAGGCACTAGCTTTTCTGTTCACTTCTTTTTTGTCCTACCTTAATAGAAAAATAATAAGATACATTTCATCATTTGATATTCTTTGCAATGGTCATACTTCAACTTGCTTGTTAACCATTTCTGAACCAAAAGAATGTCATTGATATTACTTCATTTGTTTTCCTTCTTACAATTGAAATTCTTATTCATATTGGATGAAACTTAGAACAAATTTACTAAGTAGTATCTAGTTTCAGCTTTAAAAAATTCATTTGATTTAATGTTTCTATCCTTTTTTTGTGTTATGAAATACCCAAAATATTAGTTATGAAACATTGTTTTGAAAACAAATTACAAAATGCTTCTTTGTGTCTTACAACTGTTGACCAGAAAGTTCCAGTTTATACACCAAATCAGTTCCAACTTGATATGTTGATTTGTCAGTTATAGTAATCAGTATCTCTGGCTATAAATGGTAAAAAATGCATCAAAGACTGAAAAACGTTTATCGGTGACCATCACTTTAGTCAAGCTAGGTAACTAATTTTACTTACAGTATTATTGGTCAGAACCAACTTATATTTAATATTGTTTCCCTTCAATAAATAATAAGTTACTTATGTGCATTAAACGTTTGAATATCATGACGCTAATATTCAATAGAATGCTTTGCAGTTACCTAGTGTACTCACTAAACCTAACTAGGTTTACCTGATGTCTTGTAATAGAAGAAATTTCTGTAGATTTCAAACATACATACTTTAACTGAAAAGCATTTTCGGGGATGGAATGAACATCTTGAGAACTATAAAAAAATGTCCAGATATCTGGTTTCTTTCAATCTTTTCTAAACTTTCCATTAGATTCTTTTGTTTGTCCTTGCTTGATCTTGTTACTTTCTCATAAAATCATAAATTACTGCTTACACCACTTCAATCACGCTACAATACTCTTAAAAGCTATGTATTTTTTTTACTTTACAATGCATTTGTCACTTCAGCAAACATATCTTCCAACAAATCAAAGGGATATCTTTAGGGGGTAAAACTTCATCCCACAAATTGAAGATACGTGTGTATTCAAACTTGAATTTTAATCCGTTATGAACCTTAATAAAAAAAAAAAAGAAGACTACATTGAAGCTTTGCACATCAGTAGTGCTTGTACATATTTTAATGACATCCTTTTACCTAATTGTCAAGGTTTTCTTGACATTACCAAACAAATTTGTTTATCAGAAATTACTTTGCAATAAATCTCTTTCACTAATAACAATGTACAGTACCTAGATTTGGTTATATCAGCATCATTAATGAAACATTGAAGTTCAAAATTTTCAATAAAACAAACACTTTTAGTTTTAAAGTAATAAACTTTTCATTTTTAAATACAATTATTCCAAAAAATCTATGTTACACATTTACTATATACAGCATATTACAGAATTTCTACATGTCCTGGAAAGCCTGAAAAATTTCAGTGTTAATTTACAGGCCTGGAAAAGTAATTTAAAATGGAAAAAAATATGAATGCCCTGGAAAAGTCATGGAAAACTGTGACTTAATAACATGCACTATCTGATTTAATAACAGCTAATCATTTCTTTGAAAAACTAACTTAATGAAAATGTAATTACTAAATAAAATTTAAATAACTGAAAAGATATGAGGCCAAAATATTGTGGAAAAGTCATAAAAAAGTATTTTTAACCAAGGGTAGGAATTATGTATTAGATATATTATAATTTTTTCAACATTACAAGATTTTACAAACAAAGCAAATAAACTCATTCTAATTTTTCACAAATGAGAATTAACCTCAAGTATTTTGTAATACAGATTCGTTCAATTTTGCAGGAAATTCAGTAATATTCTTGCTGCCCAATTGTAGGCTTCATAGTTTTACTAAATGTTACGGATTTTTCAAAACTATCGTCTAATTCTTTAAGGTAATAAAGAACCACTATACTATTGTGACTCCTATTAGGTTTTACCTTACATTACATTTAAGTTTGTACTACAATGTATAGTAAAACATTACATCATTAAGTTTGTTAGTTTTCCCTAATTATTATATTGTAGTAATAATTTTGTTATCAATGTGAACTTTCTTGAATTGTATTGTGTATAGTATGCAGGTACATAGATAATATTTCTTACCTACTTTTATCTAGTGTGGTGGAACTCTTAAAATTCAAAAGAAGTTTATGAAATTTTAACATGTGCACAGTTCCTGCCATGTGTATAATTTTAATAATGGCAGATTGTTTACAGAAGTTGGCTAATTTCCTTTCACTCTAGTTGTCTGTTGTTCTGAATCATTCCACACTAGTGTTATGTGCAATTTACCATGTAGAAGTGACAACAAAACTTTCACAACTAGCAAAGCAGGTGATGACTGAAGGGTGTAACTTCCATCTGGTATTTAATAATGGAATTACCAAGTGATGTGAGTTTCATATGTGCTGTGTGAGTGAAAATGCTTTTCTGATACTGAATAGCTCACTCAGTTTTAGCAGATTTTATGAGCAATAGGTATAATTTTTCATCCAGCAACAATAGTTAGTTATATGCTATCCTTTCTTTGAGGTTACTTTCATTAACGGTATTGGTTATTATTACTTATTACAACAAGTTTTATTATCATTATT